AAGAGTGTGTCAATGTTTGCGCCGATCGTAAAGACACGGCCTAGTTTCGCTCGCGGGTAATAAACACGACCGCCGGTTTACAGGAAGTCGCACTCGGGAAGCATTGTCCGTGGATGGTATCGCATCCGTATGACTGGTTCTATCAGGCCCCGGCTATGTTGGTGCTGTGCGTGAACGTCTTGTTCCTCTTCATGATAATGTGGGTGAGTACACAACGGTGATCTTGTTATCGTGCGAACCGTGGCGATCTGTTCAGGGTAAACTCCCCTTCGAATACATTACCGACTGAAGTGAAATTGAACCGCGTGTATCGTGTGAAAAGTTAACACTTCACGGCGGTCCACCGACAGATCGAGCCATAGATAACTAATATTATTTTAGATCGAGGCATCGATAACTAATATTATTTTAGATCGAGCCCTCGCGTCAATTTTGATGTTACAGTTCGAACGGGCCTAGTGTGAATCGACGCAGCGTTCTTTTCAATTAATTTTTGAACATATATCCATAAACAGGACAAATGGGGCTATACCCTCATTTTTTTTTTTCGAACTTTTTAAATAGTTCCCTGGTATAAAAACAGGGCATTTATTTAGAACATTTGCAAAATAGTCGGTTAAAAAATGATTTTTTTTAACTGAAATAATTTCTGTTTGGTACTCTTATGTTTCCACTGTAAGTACCCGCAAAGCTCATTTCGATCAGTTTGTTAGTTCAATAGTTACGATTTATCGAAAGAAGGTTAACCTTAAATTTCAAACAGCTGTATAATCAACAATTTTTTAATTTTTCAAAAATCCTTCGACACACGTTTAGTATTTGAAATAAATTTATGAAACGGTAGGAGGCCCTGTACCCTTACATTGCTTTTTCCCCTAGATGAAGCCGAGTTTGTTCCTCAGTGTACTATCAATTGAATATCGTATTCTTTGCGAGTGGACGGTTCAAGTTGCCTCGACGAACTTGCCGATGACGCAGTCGGTAACTCGATGACGATTTGGTGTTGCAGGTGCTGATAACGAAGCTCTGGTCCGCGACGAACGCGGAGACGCAACAGTATCGGAAGGCGAGCAAAGCGTTGCTGGTGCTTATACCGTTACTCGGCGTAACTTACGTGCTGGTGCTGATGGGACCCACGGAGGGTCAGGTTGCTAATGCATTCTCGTACACCCGCGCCGTATTGCTTTCCTCTCAGGTAATTCAGCCGGGACAAGTGTCCCGTTACAAAGGAATCGCGAGTTTGAAAGGATCGGGGTTCCTCTTTCGCGAGGACGTTTCGCTATTGTTCCTTTGAGGCGCATCTCTTTGAAACTGTCTCCTCTGGACTCGCGATTGTCGCTAATGTTGCCTCCAAACCTGGCGATTCTTCAATCTTGAAATACAGGGTGGAGCAATAACTATGTCCACTTTGAATATTGCCGTTATTTGTAATAATATGAAAAAATGTTATATACAGAACTTACACGGTATAGAGGGGGGCATATTGTGACACAACCATTTTTTACATGTGTGAAGGCATAGATGAGATTTCAAGGTCATCTCTAGTTTTTTTAATGGAATGCTATGTTTTTTTTATTTAGCTTCTATTTACTCTGTTTTGATTTGTTCCACAGGGGGACTCCCTCAGAGGTGGGAATAACGCCGTTGCTCATGTCGCATTTATCGAGGGATCACTATACTCTGTTAATTTGGGGATTGACTTTTAAATAACTAATTCGGGTATTATATTTAAGAGGCAGTTCAAGCTTCAGCTTGTTAGACTCGTATCTCGTGTTACAAAATCGTGAACAGAAACAACAGTCATTTGATCCAGTATTGGTAACAGAATATTGGTTTTTATTGGGAATCCATAGTAATACAGAAGTTTCGGTACACCGAGTTTGGAATGAATTAATTTTCACATATTGTTGTCGAAAATATATCGATACAACTAGGAGGAATGTACGTGTTAGAGTTAAAAGTAGCACAATACGTCGAACAAGTTCGAGCTGTAGAAGTCTTTATAGGATGGTTAGGAATATGACCGCTAGTGTAGATATTCCTTAAGAATATAACACTTCGCTCGAATTACTGGAAAAGTAATAGATATTATTTAGCAAACGGATAAATGTCTTTGTTTAACAGGGCCTGTTCGTAGCGCTGTTCTATTGCTTCCTGAACACCGAAGTTCAAAACGCAGTGAGACACCACATTGTACGATGGACCACAGAACGCGATCTGGATACCGAAAGAAGGTATTATAACAATTGGTCACCCCGTTCGAGAACAGAGAGTATAAGGTATTTTATTCCCCTACTATATAATCTGTTTAAAATCAGAGAGAGAGAGAGAGAGAGAGAGAGAGAGAGAGAGAGAGAGAGAGAGAGAGAGAGAGGAAAATAACGGGAGAAAGAATTCGCTAATGACGCAATTAACAGTCGACACAGCACGTTGATTAACCCAGAGAATGAAGTTTTCAGGAAAGTTACCTAATTACCGTTCAATTAGAATCTTCCGTTTAGAAATATCTGTCACCTTCGAAGTAAGGAGCAACGACGATGTCTATCGTACTGTCCGTCAAGTATGTCGACTCGTTTCGAGATCCGAGTTGTTTGACTTTTCAGATTATACTGTCCACCGTCGAATCCGTACAGAAAAAGAGATTCCTCGGTGAGCGAATCCACCACCACGACGGTGGTCGGTATGAATTCGACCACCACGTTCCTGGATAAATCGAAGAAAGCCATCTCCGAGGATTTGAACGAGTAAAACCGCCACACAGTTGGGCGTCGCGAGCACGAAGATTTTTAGCACGATCTACCCCCATTTGGACGCAGCCGATTGCTAAGGAATGGTTGGAGGAATTACAAGATCTGAACGTATGAGACAATGCTTCAACAAATTTATTTGGAATATTTACGTTGCGTTAGAAAAAAAGAAAAAAGGTTAACGCTCTCTCATTCCGACGACATTCATACATTCATTCATGCAATTTCCACGTTTGCATTCTAGCACTCCGACTTCCGAGTTTATTTCTCGTTTGTTTTCTTTTTCTCTCTCAAGAAGTGCATTTGCACCAGGGAAATCGATTTCTGTACGTGTGTTTGGGTGGATTTCTTTTTTAAATGTACTAAGGACACCCCTCAAATTTCCACAAGTGGACTCCTGTAAAAAAAGAAAAAAAAACGTAAGACGCTTTTCCGTTGACAGCAAGGGGGGAACATGGTCTATTGCCAAACTGTTCTGAACAGTCTAATAAAAATATTTATATTGAACATTGACATTGAAATATAAAAAGGGACGTATTCCTATACCCTGATGGGAAGAAAGTTTGCAATACAAACTGGGTAGAAAGTATAGTTGTGGCATACTTTGTGTATGTTAATCTACATTATGGTGCTAACAAATAATGTAAAACATTACAAGTGTAGGAAGGTAATTAATTAATGTTTCTTCGAGACATCGTTACGTTACTAGGCATAGTGACACCTTTGTACAAAAGAAAACTTGAAATTCCCGTACACTTGTCGAGAAACAGAAAAGAATACGCGCACGTAAGATCTTCCCTTCATAAACCTATGGTACTTACTACTTATTCCAGTGTTTACATACAAAAGTCATTTAAAATAAAAATAATGGATTTTATAAAACGATTCTCAGTTGTACGCGTGTACCGCATACAAAAAAAATGATAATCAAGACCAATTAATCATTCTCCAAGTGAAATATTGTATTTGTACCAAGATTCAAGAGAGAGTATTTATTGTTACAAACTGTTCGTTACTTTATTTTATCTTTGTTACTATTATATAATCGCGAAAGCTTTATCGAAAATTATATATTGTAAATATGTATTAACAATCGTTTTTGTTGGAACGTGGGTGCTGCTCGCACAAGTCGTATGTACATATCGTTATGTTTTAATTTTAATGGTGTTACCGAGCAAACTACTATATGTATATACATATTGAGATTTATAAGATGTGTTACAGGAACTCGTATGTGTGTATGTGTGTGCGTATATCTACAAAGTTTAAGGTGTTACGGTGGTCAATACTATTTCCTAGAGTGTAACAGGGAAAAGAAAATAATAATGTCGCGCTCATTCGGGGTTAAAATTTTGTCCAAAGATCCAAATGAAACTATTTTAGTTAGTAACTACAAGGTGAAAGACCAATCGTACCTGATGACATAAAACTTTATTTTTACGTTCATGAATAATTAGAGGAACTCATATTTTATACAGGTCAGAGTGTAACATAAGCCCGTCAGTCCAATGTTAATGTATAAAAACTCAATGGGATGATACATACGAATGAAAAGACAACCAAAAAATACAAAAAACACTTAGTAAAAGGTACTGGAGCGATATCCATTGTACAATATATAGGTTGCATAGTTATCGGTTTCTTCAGTGAATCGAATTAACATTATTTTCTTCAAAATAGACAAAATCTAAGATATGGCAGACAAGCGAAGATATACGTTGCAAAATGTCTACATTATTCTAAATGTGTACTAAGCAGATGATCTTTGGACTTTAAGTCACCCCATAACAGCATTTATCACGTAATATTTATTTTACTTTGCGTCAGCGACCCGTGTACGTCATTTATTAAAGAACTTCGTATATACAAATTTGCATAAAAGCAGATTAGTCAAGAATCCTAAACGGTATGTATCATTCGATGTCTCGTCGTTTTAAACTACCATTTTAATAAGCCTATATCTTTGATAAAACACACTCGCGTGATACTTGCATTATTGAGTGTATTCGTGAGATACTGACACAAGAACACAGTTTTACTTCAGACCCCGAAGTCTGAACCTTATATCGAACTAAATTGAACTAAATTGCTTCGTGGTAATAAATCTGTCTAATGGACATGATTAAGTGCCGTCTATCACGGCACAACACAAGCACCCGATACAATCTTTTGTTTTTTTTTTCAACAAAAGAAATTCGTCAAGGAAAATTGTTTGATTCGTTAATTTATATATTATTCATAAAAGAGACTAGTTAGCAGTCCCGGTTACCAATTGTCATTGACAATATTGATATTGAAATTTACGTAACATCGTTACGTATAAGAGAAATGCAAGGAATAAATTGAGAGGTATAATCTTTATAAATGGAATGTTCGTAACAAAAGAACCAAAAGCTTGAAAAATGGAACGACACTGCTATCGTGATTACGAAATGAATTAAGTGTTTATCTTACGAATCTTATGTATATGAATTATGTTTTGTTTTTACATTTAGTGATAAGTTAATGTTACATTAACAACTGCGTACTGTTCATATTGTTACTGTGTCCACGTTTATGTAAGACCTAACAATACTTTGTACAAGTTTTATGATACAAATATATTACGACAATTCAGTTTAAATACCATATAACATTATACTTTTAGCATTACACCTTTTGTAAAGTAAACCTTTTCTTGTACAAGGCAATGATCTTATTTCATATGTAATGTCACTGAAAAAATGAGTCTGACTGCTTTCATTATTCAAAGATTTTTTTTCCACATGGTACTGGGAAAATAGAAATCTACACACTTATGCACCTCCATCAACAAACATACTTCACATCTATTCACTTTGAAGGTATTAACCTCGAAGTATCCTCGTGGTTCTGGTACTTTGGTTTTCCATGAGTGAAGGGCAGGTATCTATATTTAATCATATGCTGAAAATAAATATGCCATAAATTATTTCCTGTTATCAATAAACGGAAATTTTGATACATTTCTGAATTAACTGGATTGCTGATTTTATGCACTTATAGCATATCTAATTATCTAATCATTACAATAGAAGTTAATAAATTTTAATAAAGCCATTAGTTATGGACCTTAATATGGTATACAAATCCCTGTTTGAATTTGGTTACTGTATATTAACCTGTAAAATTCTATATTTACATAAACATCTGCAGTCCACATTAATAAACTACAGTAATAAATATTACAGGTAAAAGCTAATGTTTCCTTACTTTTATTTGACGCTTCATTGTAATGCTGAATAGAGTTATGAAGTACATTACCAGTATTGGCCAAAATACTGGTATATCAAAACAATCAAACATAGTGCATATCATTGCTATGACAGTAGATTTCATCACAGAGTACCAGAATTTAAATTCAGGTAATCTCCTAATAAATGGCCTAAATTCTTCATTAGATCGTGTGGGTAACTCTGGCCCATCATCTATTAACAAACACCCATTAAGATGATATTTTCAAAATAATGACAAATAATGATAATTTCTCTAAATAAAATTCTGCTGTAGCAAATATTAATGTATATATTACATAACTCACCATCAAAATCCATGGCAGGATCAATTTTAGGTGTAAGAAATGCTATAAATAAATTCAAGTGATAAATTCCTAATGCATATGTAACAATATACCATCCCTGTAAACACAAAAAATAGATAGAAATTTTGATGTCCCTTTTGAAATTGTACAGCAAATATTTTTGAAGAAACAACTTACTTGTGCAAGAAATATACGCAGAATAAAAACAAATATTAGCAACGAAGCAAATATCCATCTAGATACCACATGAGGGGTCCATAAGTCCAAATATCTTTGATATATCTACAAAGTGAGTACACTCAGCAAATTATTATACCAACTTATAACTTGTTAAATGTAAATATAGATTAATTACCAAATATACCTGTGATATTCTTCCTATCGCTTGACTGAAAACATTCCGTCTTGCTGGACCACCAAGATGCTCATCTTGCATCATCTTACCTTCCTATAATTTGTATCGATCAAAACTATATCTGACAAATACAAAAGTTTGGAAACATTTTCTTAATTTATCCACATCATACAAAATGTAAGAAGACAATTGAAATATAAAAATAACTTTAGATTTTATCAATAAAAAACATATTAAATCCCGGTATCAAATGCATTATTCAAAATATTATCCCAGACAAATGAAGGCCAGAAATGAATAATCTATCGTGTGAAATGTGTGCATGTCCAAATATACAAAAATACAATTGTAATCCAAGATTACTTGATGATTGTATTCGTAGAAATTTTCTCTTACAACTCATATCTTGTGTTTAAAGGGAGTAACTCATACATCAAATTGTCAGAACCAATCATTGCAACGAATCCAAGGTTGCTCGAATATAAGACTTCTCAGGCAATACTTGAATCCCATTTTTGTGATAAACGATAACAGAAAGTCGGGATAAAGCTTAAGCGCTATGTTCACTAATTCATCGACAATGTTTCTAGGAATGTGTAAATGATTCGCCCATTAAAATAATAGCATTTCAACGAGTTTCTAAAACCTTGGAATAAACTAAAGGATATGCACCTAACCTATAGAATTTACAATTATTGCAACCATTACTAGGGATTGGTGGTGTAATTTAAATGAATCGTATTTACCTAAGGTATTTGCACGTCCTCGGCCAATTTTCACAATCAATTCGCCGTTTGCTTCTTTTAAAAAATATAACACGTCACAACATTAATGGCATACTATGAGTAGACGTACTATAGAATCTGTAAGGTGCTTCCACTTATCTCCTCCTGCTATGTGTCACAAGAGCCGATGACCAACAGATCCGATTCTTATGTAACGGAGAACAGAATTTGTGGCGATTCGTGATTCGTTTAACGTTCACATTGATATCGCCAACCCAGAATTTTTAGAACGTCAGTTTACATTTACCGTACTCAAAACAGATGTTCACATCACTCTAGTAATCAGAAAATAGTCAACTGTAATGAGAAATCAGTCATACACTGACGTATATTCAACGGTGTATAATATTTTTGACCACATTAGCGAGAGTCATTATCTTTTTCCTCATTTTCTATCTCTTTTATAATACGAAAGATTAAAATAATAAAAATATATCCAGAAGTGCATATTCCTTAATGTAATACCCGAGAGGAAATTGAAGGAAATCAGAGGAAATGAGAGTGCTCACGACTAGGGTTGAATCGATACCACCAAGGTATCGATACTTTTATTCATAACTACTTTTGTATGAAGGTATCGATACTTACTCGATATCGAAACAAAAGTATCGACACTTACTTGTATCGAATTATATTTTCCTAACCTTGATACCCAACACAAAAGTTGTTTCTGCATTAAGAGAGAATAAAATACAATACTATGCTTTATATATTTATTTAAATAGTTAATATAAAATGTAAAACATATAAACATAAACGTATCTATAAACTATACACGATAAAGTAATATAAGATATACATGATAAAAAAATATGTCATACATCTCACACACACGGGGTCTCTTGTGTTACTTCAGGGGTTCTATGACCCCACTTTCTCAACGGAATCACGATCACGGTCGTGATTTAACTTCATTCGCGACCGTGATTGCGATGTTTTTATCTTAAGTGAATTTGCTCACTGCGATCGTAAGTCCTTGATCTTTAGGGACCGGGGTTAGAGGGAGGGGATAGTCTTAGGGATTTATACTGGAGAGCTAAATTTTTAAAAGGAACATGTCGCTTAAACAAATTAATTAAAAATGATATTTATTTGGGTAATATGAACATCACGAATAAACGAGAGCGGTAGAGTGAACCGCGGTATCGGTCAATCGGTGCTCACCGTCGGTGCCGACGCATGCCGAACGGTGCCGAAGATGGTCGGAGTGTGCGAACGGGAGAGAGCGAGAGCGGTAGAACGAGCCGCGGTATCGGTGCTCTCCGTCGGTGCGACGCGTGCCGAGGAATTTCAATGGCCTATGGGGGGAGGTGTGCGAGCGAAAGAGTACGCTAGAGCGTGCCGAGTATCGGTGCTCTCCGTCGATCCAACGCGCTAGTGAGTTGCGTCACCCAGTTTATTGGCGAGAGCGGTAGAACGAGCCGCGGTATCGGTGCTCTCCGTCGGTGTTGACGGGTGCCGAGGAATTTCGGTGGTCTATGGGAGGGAGGTATGCGAGCGAGAGAGTACGGTAGAGCGTGCCGAGTATCGGTGCTCTCCGTCGATCCAACGCGCTAGTGAGTTGCGTCACCCAGTTTATTGACTTAGCCGTGTACGCCGTGTACCAAGGTCGTACCATCCCGTGCAGGTCTGTGCTTGCTTCCTCACTTT